ACCTATCTATCCCGCAAAACCCCAAAATTGCGATCTTTGTTCAGCTGAATACACCAATCACATCTCGCTTAATACCGCAGCACTTGTCTCTCTATGGTTCGGAACAGATGAACATACGTGTGCTTTGAAAGGTCACACCACAAGGAACAGCAAAACCGCCAATGATCGTCAACCCAAATGGCACTCTTTGAACGGAGGGTGTCGACTCATCTGATCACGAAGTCATTTAAAATCAAAAATCATTATGTGCCTAGCCAAACTGTGCACATATCCTAACGTGGCAAAGGATTCAAAAGAAACCATGTGTTAACCTTTCACAACACTGGCTTTGTAAAAACGGAACGATTTCGTTATTGTTCCAAGAAATTCCGATATGTTCATACAGGCCATTTCAAGGGGAGCAATGTGACTAGCTCCAAAGTACCAGGTCATTCGGAGTGAGTAACTGTCATTTTTTAGCCTAACATTCCGTGAAGGACGTTGATTTTATTACTGAATGAAAAAGGAGTACTTTGTAGTTTGTACTCGCGCGGTTCTTGTAATTCTGTAATCGGCCAAAACCTTTGCAAGGTGCTAGATTCGTAATTCACTCCAAATTGCATGCAGGAACATGACCATTTTAGTGGTCGGTTTTTGGGACCGCCACAAATTTTGTGTAATTTTTTCGGTTTTAACTCTTTAGCTAATCTGTTATAAAGGGTATTATGTGGATTCCCCAGAATTTAACCAACAGAGGCTAACCTTGTGAGTAGTTTGCTTTATGAAAATGGACTGCGACATTTCGAATATCGTGCCAACTGAATCATGAGGCGGCCTGTGTGCAGCTTCAGTTGAGTCTCTAGTGAAAACATAATTGATTTGCAAACGAGTGTATTTCTCGAAAACAGTCCAATTTGGGTTCAAGTTAAGGTTCACGGAAACTCCGGGACTGCGCCTGCCTGATGAGCCCCAAAAAGGGCGAAACCGGTCGTGGGCTATCGAAGAGTTTTTAGCAACCTTGTGAGTAGTTTCCTTTATGAAAACAGAGGCCAACCTCATTTGTTATGTCCAGCCAGATAGATCGACAGGAGGCACCGATTGAAGTAGAAAGTACTACGCACCTCCCATTCCTTTTGCAAAACAGTATCTTCTCGTGTTACTTTCAGCATGATTTGTTTCTTTTCAACGCTATAAAGTCACGACAAACTTCCTATAGAGATCATTACTTTGTCCCCTGTTTAGGATTAAAGTGAGTGAGCAGTGCGCACCCAACTGTGCACTGATGATGTCTCCCCGTTCGATGACGATACCTTCGCGAGTTAATTGCCAAGCTTGGCCAACAGATCATCAGCCAATAAGCACACCCAAGTTACCAGTATCTCAACATATTATCACTTATGATCATTGTGGATTCGCTTTACACATAGTATAGGTAGCTTCACAAACAGGCTTTTCTACGCTTCATTCAGTGGGGTTTTTGAGTCTCCTGGTGATAAAAACTAAGCGCACATGTCTCGCGTGTTTTCTCACTTGCTGTTCGCACCAGCTCACTCTGGGGGCTTTGAAGGGAGCTCCCTAGTGTGGAAATTAAGCTCTGTATGGGATGACATTAGACTGAAAACTGGTATTAATACAAGCTACAAGTTACGTTCATTATGATGAACTCAGTCTGCCCTCAACGTTTTTTCCCCGGAACATATTATTAATCGGTAGGATGATGGGCAATAAGATCATAAGGCAAGAGATCAGTCCTGAAAAAATGGGGACACTGAGTTGGGTGCTGATTTTTTGTTTGGTCGTTGATGGTTCAATGTATGCACATTATCATTCTAGTGTTTGAGGAAATCCGGAATTTCGAGGACTTATTTGCTGAGCATTGAAAAAGTTTGCAAATATGTGTGAGACCGATGGATAGACCAGTGAAACAGCAATCTAGATGGACAAATGTGAGACACTGCTGAAGACACATCAGTACTAAGATAACCGCCAGTTAGTTCAACACAAACGCCTTCACAAAGGAACGCGAATGTCTTCGATAAATACACTCATTTGCAAATCAATTTGGTTTTCACGAGAGAACTCAACTGAGTCTCTCATTTATTATATTCTACAACTTAATGTGCTGCACACAGGCCGTCTCATGTCTCAGTTGGTACGATATTCGAAGAGTTTTCAACAACCTTGTGAGTAGTTTCCTCTACGAAAACGCGAATGGCCTTGTACAATGTAGTTGGATCTATTTGCCCACTGAAGAATCCTGGTAGAGTGATTGGTATGCACCTCTTACTTTCAGGCGCAGTCCGATCAGCTAAACTGTGCCTCTGGAAATGCCCGGATAAAGGAGGAGATTATGCACGTACGTCAACTCATCGGGGAAAATCAAAAGGCCTTATCCAGCATTGTCAAAGCAGTTTCACAAATGCAGGACCAAGTAAGTCATTCAAAGTACAATTGGGCAACTTTCATTGTTTCTTTTAAAGCCGCGATGCCCATTTGCTTCCCAGTGCAAAGTAGAACTAGATGCCATTGAAATTTCTGTAAAGATATAGGGTGGAATGTATTTGCAGGCAGCGCGGTGGTGTGAAATCGACAGTATGAAATATTTGTCCCGAACACAGAAGAGCTTTCTTAAGGAAGTGCTTCAATCTAGTGGCCTACTGGTTTGTCTTGACTCACCTCTTTGCTATCACCCAGATAAACCTGTTATTGATGAATGAAACATAAACACTTTTTGCCAAGAGACGATGTACGTGAGCGGACATATGCTCGGGGTTTATAAAAATGCAATACCCATGTGTTTACCGCGCCTGGAACATATTATTAATCGGTAGGATGATGGGCAATAAGATCATAAGGCAAGAGATCAGTCCTGAAAAAATGGGGACACTGAGTTGGGTGCTGATTTTTTGTTTGGTCGTTGATGGTTCAATGTATGCACATTATCATTCTAGTGTTTGAGGAAATCCGGAATTTCGAGGACTTATTTGCTGAGCATTGAAAAAGTTTGCAAATATGTGTGAGACCGATGGATAGACCAGTGAAACAGCAATCTAGATGGACAAATGTGAGACACTGCTGAAGACACATCAGTACTAAGATAACCGCCAGTTAGTTCAACACAAACGCCTTCACAAAGGAACGCGAATGTCTTCGATAAATACACTCATTTGCAAATCAATTTGGTTTTCACGAGAGAACTCAACTGAGTCTCTCATTTATTATATTCTACAACTTAATGTGCTGCACACAGGCCGTCTCATGTCTCAGTTGGTACGATATTCGAAGAGTTTTCAACAACCTTGTGAGTAGTTTCCTCTACGAAAACGCGAATGGCCTTGTACAATGTAGTTGGATCTATTTGCCCACTGAAGAATCCTGGTAGAGTGATTGGTATGCACCTCTTACTTTCAGGCGCAGTCCGATCAGCTAAACTGTGCCTCTGGAAATGCCCGGATAAAGGAGGAGATTATGCACGTACGTCAACTCATCGGGGAAAATCAAAAGGCCTTATCCAGCATTGTCAAAGCAGTTTCACAAATGCAGGACCAAGTAAGTCATTCAAAGTACAATTGGGCAACTTTCATTGTTTCTTTTAAAGCCGCGATGCCCATTTGCTTCCCAGTGCAAAGTAGAACTAGATGCCATTGAAATTTCTGTAAAGATATAGGGTGGAATGTATTTGCAGGCAGCGCGGTGGTGTGAAATCGACAGTATGAAATATTTGTCCCGAACACAGAAGAGCTTTCTTAAGGAAGTGCTTCAATCTAGTGGCCTACTGGTTTGTCTTGACTCACCTCTTTGCTATCACCCAGATAGACCTGTTATTGATGAATGAAACATAAACACTTTTTGCCAAGAGACGATGTACGTGAGCGGACATATGCTCGGGGTTTATAAAAATGCAATACCCATGTGTTTACCGCGCCTTCAGACGGCTGAGATTGAAACTACATGTTTCTCAGTCTAGAAATTTCACACAGTGAAAGCACAGCCAACTCAACATCAGGTGGGAATTTAGTTATTGCACTGCGTTGCATTAATGACTGGTCCAACATCCTGACCGGACCAATCAATTTTCAAATTCACGTAAAAACGCATCAGACAGATGCGTTAGTGCACCGACCCGACGTACGAAAACAACCGTACTAGCTAAAAAAAAGTTGTGAATTATGAGAACTGAATGTGTGCTCCTAGCCAAAATTCCACTAGTTTCAATCCTGCTTTCCGAATTTTCTGTCACCCGTGAGTAACGAACGGAACTGGTCCACAGCCCGTGATGGAACATTTTCTCATAGATGGAACAGCTATTTAACCATCTAACGATTGAGGCACTCTTTCAGAAACCGTCTAGTTTGAATTTCATCTGAATCTCTCGTTCATGATGAGCCCCAAGAAAGGCAAAACAGGTTAGGGGTGCCAGACAGTTTACGGCAACCGTATTAGCATTCTCCTTTGAGGTTGGTTTATAAATTTTGTGATCTTGGATGGGTAGTCCCGATGCGTACTGAGCCTTTTCTATTGCCACGCGTTGTCACAATTAGATAATTATATAGTAAGTTATTTTCACAAAACTCACTTGTGAGTATGTAAACAGTCAGTTTACATTCGGTCATGCAAAGTCAATGAAAGTCTTTGAACACAATACCAACTTCAACAGACTGAGATTTCACGGAACATGTTTTTTTAAAGGAGCGTCATGATCTTCATCGCTTAAGCTCGGGTACCTGTTGTTTTGTATAGGGTGGGAACAGCACCGTCAAATGAAATTTAATTTAAACACAGCATCCATTACAAAGGTGGAACATATCAGTGAAAGGATAGGATATGGGGGGGGCTCGATGCGTTTTGGCGCTCGAAAATGGCTTTGCCGTCCACTATTAACTGAGCTATGGTGGATACATTAATAGACGTAATACACTACTCATGAGGTTGCTGAAAATCCTTCGACAGACAACCATCGGTTTCGCACTTCCTGGTGCTCATCAGGTAGGCACATTTCGAAAGTTTTCTCCAACCTTGTGTTTCTACTTAAATCTGAATTGCCCGGAAGTTGCGGGCTAAAACTTTATACGCTAGACTGCGATCAACAATGTGACCAGTCGATAGAAGGTGTTCATCGATCGGTGAGGCAAGTTTTCGGGTGTTATCTCGCAGACCATTGGTCGATCGACCAGTCAATAGACTCAGGTGATGAGGCATAAATTCCGAGACACGCTCGCATAAGCGTCCGACTGTTCGATCAAAGTTAATTTCACCGTTACTGCATAATCCACCCCATGTAATTTACGATATATAACTGTGTTTGGGCGGGCTCTCCCTGACTACAGTCCGATAAAACCTACTTTACTTTTTACTGATTTGTCATATTCACGCTTAGGCCGCGGGGTGCTGTGGAAGTCGATAAATTTATTAGGGAAGCCGTTCGGAAGCAACGTTTTTAGAACCATTCTTCCTAGAGAAAATCGGTAGTACAATGCGTCTGGTTCGTGCGACCAGGCTTTCTTTATAAGATAAAGGAGTAAAACTGGAAGACTGCAATTACTGCGCGATCCTTGTGGGCTCAACACACACAGCGCTTAAGTGTGTCGTCCCTGTGCACAGTCGTACGAACATCCTCACTATTCAAGTGTATAATTCCCAGAACTGACCACATATTGGCCTACACAGTGTTTCACGAGATAAAGTTTCAACCCTGGGCTATCTTTTTACAAATGCTATAAACCAAGTTGTGATAGCCCGATGGACTGCCGGTCTTTAGAATCGCCAGACCAGTGCTCTTCGCATTCGTCGTTCCTCACTATTTATCTCTATGAAAGCTATCTACAATCATCATGTGACGTTGTTTATCCTTTCAGGTTGTAATGCTTAATGGGAATATGGAGCAATGGATTTTGGCACAAGCTGGGGGACGAGAAATCCGCACCGTGTTTGTCGAAGAACGTTCATCAACATCCAAATCACGACGTAAGGATCGGCGTGAACGGGAACGTGAAAGAGAACGCGAACGCGATTGGGATACGTTTGTTCGGGACGTATAACAGACGGCACTCAGATGCTTGCCTAACGTCTAGCATAATTTATCATTTCCACTTCCAAGAGAAATATGATTATCCAAATAGCGCCGGGCGTCAGTTTCTCTCTCCCCAGTTTTACCGCTCCGCACACCATCGCACACACACACACCCACAGTGACATTTATTCCTCCTGCACTCACAAACCGAATATCTGGTGGGGG